ATGTGTAATGAATTTTCGCTTTCCAATAAACGTAGAAACTGCGAATATCCTGAGCTGAAAGCGCTCAACGGTATTAAGTATTACTTGAGTATTCCAATATTGAATGAACTAAACTTAAACGATCCAAAATTAGAAGTCAATTCGGTTGACATTGTCAACTTGGGCCTCACAAAGTGTGTCTTTTCCTAACTTTACTGAAAGAATATTCTTGTCGTTTTATATAGCGAATGTTGTAAGGCAAAATTCCGAGAATTGGGAATCTGTGAAACCACAAATAATTTTTGATACTTACCTGAAAGTTAATGATCTAATAATTAAAATATGAAACATTAATATTAAAAAAAATTGTCCTTAAAGAGTTAAAAGTAGTCGGGATTGATGAGTACGTAAGGACACACAGTGGTGCACTTTGGTATGACACCGCGGAAAATATTATGTTTTAAGTCAAATAATAAAAATTATACTTTTATAGTTTAGCTGCCTCCGTGGCCGAACGGTTACCATGCCGGACTACCACGCAGAGATTCCAGGTTCGATTCCTGGGCCAGGAGAAATATTTATATGGCCTACATTGATTTCTCTCGTGAGTTTGAGTGTAATTTGTGGTTGTCTATGTGTGTCCACGGCACCCGCAACACAGCGTTTCCCTAGTGCGAAATTTATAAAATATTGGTCTTAAATTAAACATTCTTTAAAACGTAAATGAGAAATAATAAAAACATAAAATTCACTCTTAACTCAACTTCAACTTTTCACTATTATGAGTACCGACAAGATTACTATTCTAGGCATTATAAAAAACACAAGTATCGTAAATTTCTATTCAATTTAATTTAAAGTAACCGTTGAAAACACGGCAGTTTTGCGCAAGAATGGTTATGTCTGTCTCGTATATTTACGTAATGTACAACTATTGGCAATTGTTTAGATAAATGTTCATAAAAATACTTTTTTCCGCCAAGGTACCTCTGTGGGACAGTACAATAGAGTAAACAAAAAATATGCCAGAATCTTGTAATAATGGTAACAATGTAAATAAACAAAAGTGGTTAAAAAACGTTGCGGCATTGTTATGGATGAGACCTATACGCTCAGCGGTTCATGAAAGAATATCTATTTATTTTTTGCTAAAAAAAGGTAATAAATCCGGACTCGTACTTCTGAGTTTCTTGGAATTTATGTACACACGCCAGCACATCAAGCTACACATTGACGTATCTTCCGTTGCACTGGAGATGATTTTCGAACCAAAATGTGTAGTCTGATGTGCTGTTGTCCGTACATAATTTCAGTTTGAAATTTACCATGAACTTTTTTCGGTGAACGAAAACATCGTGATGAAAACTGCACGTTGAAGTTGCTAATTTGCCGACAATTTAAACTTTTACATATTGTCGCCCTACTTTCTCAAACTCTATCTTAAAGCATAAAATTACTCAAATTCATAAAATGGATGGTATATACAAATTCTGCAGGCTATTTTCTTATCACATTTCCTTCATATTCACACACTGGCTTTTACTTATTCTTATAAGTAATGCATCCAAATTAACAGGTGGTGAAATTACAGGCACATGGGATTTGTCAACTTATGTCTCTGGGTGACAGGCGCAGCGGCCCTCAGATCTTTGTGATTTAAAGCTCTGAGTGGCACTGCAACTTTTATGGACATGCATGTAGCTTGCCAGGCACACGACTTGTTCGTACCCTAACTAGATATTATAAAAAAAATCCAAATGAACACCCTTGATAAGAAATTTAAAATAAACACAAAATTTTGCCGTCTCGTGAATAATCACTCTTTATATGATACGAATTTGAGAAAGTAAGACATCGATAAATTCTTGTACGACTCAGAATCGTCATCAAAACGCGCTGATGGATATCGAGTTGATTGCGATCTTCACAAGTCAATGTCTTAGACACCTTTAAGTGCACGCGTCTCCCATCTTACATGATTTCCACCCGGAAACTTTAATAGAACCGTTATCTACATATACTTGCCATGTATTTGGTATAGACGAACTCGGCGGTCCAACAACTTGCACTGTGGATGCTGGACGAGTAGCTCTTGGGTTCGGTTCCCGGTAGATAAATTGGGAATTAACTTTTCTAAATTGGTTCTGGTCTGGGTGTTCTGGGTAGTGAGTAAATTCCATTGCTCTGGTATTTATATTATAGGGACTTCGGTTGAAATGTGTAAAACATTTCAGTTGCATTGAAAATATTCCAAAAACTTAAATGGTGACAAGAGGCATTAAGGGGAAACCACTTAGAGGTCGACGCTCAAATCGGTTGTCGGATCAGGTTTCCGATGAAGGAGAGATGCCTATCAGCATAGTTTTCCACAAAGCGACTGATTGAGATCGATGAAGGCAATATATTAGTGCAAGAAATGGTGTCATGGTGTCAACAGTAAAGGACCGATTAGAAGAAGAGCAATATAATTTTTTAATAATTTTCATAACGTTTCAATCATTCAATCAAATCAAATACTTACGGTAGTTCTTTAATTGCATTTTTGTTATTGAAAATGTTGAATAATTGTCTTAAAATACCTACATCGGAAGATCAGTGTATTTATTAAACCAAAAATACTGCTATTCACGCTTTTTGTATCGAATTTCGTAAGTAAACCGAATTAATTTTGTCTAGCAACCTTTTAAAGGTGCTCTCGAGGATATGTTGGAATAACACCAAACTCAGACGTGGAAACTTAGTACAGTGAATTGGAATGATATTATTTTTGTGAATTACTCCACTAGCACAGTTTGCTAGAAGACGCTGGTCCAGCCGGAACAAAGGATTTTTTTTTCGAAGAGTTCGATCTTTGTATTAGTAAATAATAACATTATTCGTTTATTTCGGACTCTGGGATCCGTATAAAAATATAATTATAACAATGGTTTCGGTGCTCGTATGCGATAATAAATCAACCTTAAAACAACATAATTTGTATCAGATTAGCGACAAGTAGGGTTCTGTGACCTACTTCACTCTGATGACATTTAACACCTCGTTCAGCAGAGCAGGGCTTATTCCCTGACAGGCTTATTATATATATATATTTACGAGCTTTTATCTTAAAATTAGGTTAGTATCCGATTACCTCAAACCCACTAATGAATACTTCTTGTATTATAATTCTAGATTCGTACATGTTTTCGGTACTTATATTCAACTTAAATTTATTTTAGAGTGCTTAAAAGCTCCAGATTGAAGAAAGTTCGCCGAGTGGACATTGGACAGGTCACCTTTGACTGCGAGCCTCTACATGTTGCGTTTCGTTTGAGATGAAACAAATTCCGCCAAGAGAGAAATTTTATTCGCGTGAAATCTTTGCCGTAACGATATTCTGACCAAATCTGATTTTATTCTGAAATCTTTTGTGGAAATTGAATCTTTTGATCATACGTAGAATGTTAGTTAGTTTTGCATATTGAAATTTCTTTGTTGATGGGTAAGATAAAGGCAATATCTCAATAATGTGTTAAATCATATCATACCTTACCTATTTCTGCCGCGAAGCAGTAATGTCTGCATTACTGTGTTCCGGTTTTGAAGGGTAAGGGTGCTGGTGAAATTACAGGCACGCGGGACTTGTCATCTTATGTCTCAGGGCGACGGAAGAAATGGTAGTGCCCCTCAGATCTTTGCAATTTAAAGCTCCGAGTGGCACTGTAACTGTTACGGACAGGCGAGTAGCTTACCATCAGGCGCACGTCTTGTTCGTCCCGTCACTTGAAGTTATAAACAGAAATCATCGTGGTGATACATATGCAGGTTTTCTCCATGTTTTCTCCAAAGAGGCTGTAGACCAAATATTGTGTAATCAAAACGTATTATAAGATTCAATATAAGGTTACCATACTATAAAACTTACTTTACGCAGTGAAGGTCTTTAGATATCAACGTATTTTTCCATGGCAAATTCACCTCAAAATATTCGGCTTTTAACAAAATGTGGCAGTGCTGAATACCAAAGATAAAATTCAATTTGCAGAGAGCATAAGCCATTTTAGAAATTGGAGCATGGCATTGTTATGCGAAAGATGTTCTTGAAAAATTTTATTCTACAAAACTCTTTATTGAGGCCAAAGACAAACAGGAAAAATAGAAGAATAACAAGCGTTCTAGGTATTTTACATGCGATTTTATTTTAAGAATACAGTCAAGCTTTTGACACATTTCTTCCAAAATGTGGTACGAAATGTTGATGCTGTTTCGGTCTCCGGCGGAATCACTTTTAGTGGCTTGGCGGTGAAGTATCATAAAAGCAGTGCTACTGCAATGCGTTGCTTCCCACACCGTTTGCACGGCACTGTTTTATGATTGCCCCTACAGCCCGCGACGCGCGGTCATCATGCCCGCACTTGGTCCCAACACACGTTGATTGTACCACTCGTTATTTTAGATGTACTACCACTTTTATCCTCTTGTGAATACATTACCAAAATTTTTCTTACAATTTCATTCTGGAGTTTCTATTAAATCATTCACAACTATATAAAAAAATATAGTTTCCAAAGTGTTAATAACCAACAACACGACGAATTTAGTTCAAAGGTTTTGCTTTAACTCAGGATGGACGTTCCCAAATAAAATATTTCATAAATGTTTTTGATATATTCACGGTCAGGCTTTTCATACTTTGCCCGCGTGGCTTATCTGGATTATCTCGGGATTTTCCTCGGATTTTTTTAACTTGTTCGCGTTTGTGCGTCCGCTTATTGCGTTTTATCCGGCGCGTGATTCCCGAGCGCCCGCGCCCGCGCCCGCGCCTCACCGCAAATATGTTTATCGTGCCCCAAATTTCCCTTCATATTTATGATGCTCGTTCGAACGTAAAAAACGAAGCTAAACAGCGCGTCGAGTCGCGTGAATTACATTTTATTCAATATTAATATACCCAGGAGCGCTTTTTATGTTCAGAACGTTACATTTACAATTAGCGTTGATTTTCAATTACGACGTTTGAGCGTTAATGTGTATTGTTTCAGGTGATAGGAGGTGGGATGAGATTGGTGTGTTCGGGTCGTTTTAGTATATCGCGCGTGTGTAGTGCGTAGTGGGCAGTGGTCCGATGTGGGTGAGCTGGTAGCTGTGAGCATGGTGTGGGCATGGCGCGCGCTCGCGCTGGCGTCCGCGCTGGTGTGGGCTGGCGCAGTACAGGCACTGTCGGAACAAGTGTACCACAATCAGTTCGCGGTGCATATTCCCGGCGGCGAACACCACGTGGATGACATCGCCAGAAGACATGGTTTCGTCAATCATGGACAGGTGAGTGTTTCTTTTGTTACAGGACAAAATATGTATTAGACAGCCAACGATACATTCAACAACATTCTTTCAATAGTTCCATTTTACTGATTTGAAATAAGTACCTGTTTAAAATTAGCGATGCGCGACTTTGAATGTTACTACTACTCATCATTCGAATTAGCAAATCATTCGGCTAAGTCGAATCCAAGCACAATACCGAATGCTTCTGCCATTCGATCAGGCGCACGTGTCGAATGATTTTTATAATAATAATTTTTTTTTTTTTTTTTTTTTTTATAACGCACACACTCAACATAGCCCCGCACTAGGGAAACCCTGTGTCGCGGGTGCCATGGACACACATAGACAACCACAAATTACACCCAAACTCACGAGAGAAATAAATGTAGGCCATACAAATATTTCTCCCGGCCCGGGAATCGAACCTGGGACCTCTGCGTGGCAGTCCGGCATGGTAACCGATCGGCCACAGAGGCAGTTAACAGATTATTATGCCGAAACAGCTAACTCATAATGTCCACACCAAAATATCCCTGTCCCCGTCACATTTACAGCATTTACCATATGTCAGAGAGGGTTAGGTGATCACGAGCAGAAATGCTCTATGGAATCTATGGATCAGCACTACTAATTAGTAACGAATGATCATTCAAACCATAAGTCAATGATTCAAACCATTCGAATATGGAAATTAGTAGGTTACTAATTTGACATTCGAATGACAGGATTAGCGATTATTAACGAGTCGAAAATCAAAATCATTCACAATCGCGCATCGCTATTAGACATATAGGTATGTCGAATGAATTTTATTTAAATCTCGTTGCAGTTCTTTTCGTACCACAAAACTATACATTACTATTAAACCAGGTTTTTTGCCGTCATCGTAAAGCTCAATATGACCAATTAATTAGCTGGAGCGAAGTTGGCGCTCGGTGTCGCGCGGCGGTCTTAATTCTCAAATGAAGATATAATTATTACCTAACTACATTTATAGTGGAAGATTTCACTTAAGCAGTTTTTAAACGTTTGCAAACGTATAAAACAGCTAAAATTTTCTGTGGTGTGTGAAAATATTTCCGAGATTTCGTTGAAATTTTAATTAGATCAAATATATTATACTTTCGTCTCAACGTTAGATACATACATCACATTGTTTTTTTAGTGCACATTTCCAAGTAATAACTTACAACAGATATCAGAAAACTTTAAACCGATCTCGAAAGTACGTTATCTAATGAGTAAGTCGACATGAATAACTTTTTAAAAATAAAACTAGAAATATCCAAAATTTTAACGTTAAATGCTCCCATACATTTAATATGACATTCGTAAAGCTTTAAGCTTTGACCTACTTTAAGAGGTAACAACATGACCTACCAACAAAACCAACAAAATGGGTAACAATAAGTTTATAGATATTAAAACTGCTATAAATAAAGTAATAAAACTATCGAGTTTTTAGGTTTTCGCGATTGTTACACATAGGGTATGATCGAGTCAACCGTGACCATGGGACCTGCAAAGGGCCCGAAACATCGGTTTGCTTGAAAAAACAAATATACGCGATTTAAATCCGGAAAAATAGTTTCATTTCCTATAATAAAACTATCTTTCAATTGAATAAAAATATAATGGCATAGCCAATTATTTGAACAAATGTGAGTTGTCCATATAAATGAATAAAATTGATAAAACTTTTTTTAGTGGTGATCGACTCTGTTTCATGTAAGGATCATTTCATTATATGGGACGAAAAAATCGGGACAGCTGAAGTTGGTCAAATTTAATCAAATTTTTTTCATATAAAAATGGTAAAATTGACAATTTGTTTTTTAGAGACTCAGTTTCTTATAAGAATGATTTTATTGTATTAGAAGAAGAAATTCGGGATAGCAAAAATTGGTCAAATAAAATGTTGTTATTATGAAATATTGTACTTCCGATTTATTATACCCATTATTATTATAGTTAGTATCTATTGGCCTTTTACTTCTTGACGCGACAACTCTGACGCTTATATTTGTGGGGACCACTGCTTAGCGACTGAGACAGGATTATCAGTGGCGTTGTACAGGTCCTCCCATGTGCAAGTGTAGGGATACAGAGGGCAGGACAAAGGATGTGCCATTAGCTGGTGTGTATGTGTGTGTCAGGTACTTTTCATTGAAATATTATATACTGCTAATAAACAAATTACACTCTTACATAGGCCTGTTTCTGTAATATAGGTTAGTTAGTCCTTGTTTTTTTTTTTTTATTTTTTTTTTATAATACTAAGTGACGGGACGAACAAGTTGTGTACCTAGTGGTCAGCGACAATTCCTGTCCCTAACAATTGCAGTGCCATTCAGAGCTTTCAATCAGAAAGATCTGACGGGCACTGCCACTGCGCCCGACACCCTGAGACATAAGTTGACAAGTCCCATGTGCCTGTAATTTCACCATCTTCACCACCATCACCATAATCTGTCATGATTGGCGTACGATTGTCGTTTTGTGTTGAGAGCAATCGGCTGCTTTGTTTGTTAAATAGCAAAACATTTGTTGTGCTTTCAGATACCTTTGGCGGCTTCTGTTGGCTTATGTTTTGATTACATTAACATAACTTTTGATTCAATGATTGAAGTATTACTTTAAGACAAAATCTAGTCTGTACAAAGAGGATTGGTTTTTGTAAAACAACTTTAGAAAGAGATTACTAAATTTGTGAACAAAATATTTGCATAAAAACCTTTGCGCTTTTTCGTAAATTCACCTTATAAAATTCATCCCTTATCAAAAGACAAACCATAAACACAATTTTAGGAATAACTCCATATAAGACTAGAAGTGACTTTTGTTCTAAAACTTTGAGAAATTGTAACAAAAATTATTTCGACATAACTTACGATGTCACCGATCTGTATGCGATTTCTCCTGTTGGAATTTCCAAATGTTTTAGAGTGAAATAGGTCCGAAGGCAAAGATTGAATATAATGTATACTATTACTAGATGACGAGTGGCAGTGTACGGTAAAACCAAAATGGGTTTTTGTGACACTGTTTTATTATTATCCATCATATATTTGTGACCTCTTTTTTTTAAATCCCCGCACTAGGGAAATACTGTGTCTGGACAAACAACCACAAATTACACCCAAACTCACGAGTTAAATAAATGTAGGCCTTACTATATTTCTCCCGGCAGGGGAATCGAACCCGGGACCTCTGCGTGGCAGTTTGGCATGGTAACCGCATGGCCACGGATGCAGTTTAACTATGTTATGTTTTGTTTTGTTCTGTGTGTAGCTTTTTCTGGATGATTTCAATTTTTATTACAATTAAAGAATAATACGAGCCTTCTGGCACGTAAAAAAAAATCAGTTAAACTACGCATTCAAAGGATTTTTGTATTTTTTCCCTCGTATTTGCGAAAAGCACAATAAATATGGTCATATCGTTCCAATACAATTTCTCGTCACACGACTGGCTCAACAAAATCTAATAACAAAGAAACGTAGTAACTCAATAAAATACGTTATTATCCAATTTACGTCGCACAAATACTGTTTCTCCCTACTTTTCCTTAAGAAAGTCATTGAAAAAAAAACAAACAAAAACACTTGCCCTATTTACCTCGTAAGGACTGTCCATAACATGAAAGTAATTGCTTTTATTGGCCCGGAGATTTCGGTAAATCGACATTTTATTAATGTTCCGTTATGAAATGAGAAAACAAAGCGCCAAGGGCTCAAATAGCAGTTCTGCTGCACCTTGGGCAATTTTCCTGTTTTTTTCTTTGATCTCCGGTACCGACGTTCACTAACTTGGTGATTTGTATTAGGTCGTGCAATAAATAAAAATGTAATTGCAGAAAATTACAATTTTCTTTTTACGGCATGTTTATAACGTTCTGTGATTGCTTTCATTCTTTTATCTTTTACTTTAGGTATAATAAAGCTTAACTTTGGTGGTGTTAATGCTTAATAAAATGTAGTTACCTTATTTCACGTTATAACATTTATTAACGTATAACAATATTTTCTTATTGTTTTCTTTAGACAGAGGTGAGCTTAAATTACGTGAAAAACTCATAGTGTGTGGTATTATATTTCATATCGTATACAGGGTGTTGATTTGCATTCTCGCCATATTTAAGAAATTAATAATAGAAATAATGCTAAATCATCTAAAAATATTTAAAAAATATTCTGTTGAATATTTTGGCTAATTGTATTTAGTAAAGTTTTGTAAAATTGTCCCGCAAGTGTACCTACTTACGGCAGAATACAGTGACCCTGCCACTCGCTTCACGTAATCTTTCTCGATCGCTTATTTACCTGTTTTTTAAATCATGTTTATGTACTAGTATTGCCATATTTTACTAATTATTTACAAAAGATTTTTTGTAACTTAGATTTGGTAATTACCAACTTTAGGTTACATAAAAGTAGTGCTCGAAGTACCTAGCTCCACAGCTGGAGGCAGACTCCGTACCGGAGCCAGCCACAGATATGCAGAGTTTCTATTCAACTTAGTACATTCTTCACAACGGAAAAAGCAGAAAGAATCCAGATACGATTTTTGCGCGCAATTCTTCGACACTCGTAATCTGCGTAAACTAAACGTTTCACATCATGCCATAAGAACGCACTTTATGGTAATGCACATGGTAGCGGTTTTTTTTGCACTAACTCTTGTTTACATCTCACACAAACCACGTTGCATTTCGTGAGAAACTAGAACGTATGCGCGATAAACACAGACGCAATACTAAATTAAAGATGGGAAGATTAAAGATGGGAAAAACTACTTATTTTTTTAAACGTTTAAACGTTATACTTTTTTAAAACAGCGTGCTTTTTAAACGCTTTTTAGTTTGAAGCTAACAGAATCGTTTAGAAAACGTTTAAGCGTATAGACTTTTATTTTTTTTTAAATCTTGCAACGTTGTGTTGATAGCGAAACGCAAGAGTACACCACTAAAGGTTTTAAGATAAGTTTTTTTTGTAAAA